TACGATTACGAAAAATTACTCAAAATAATTTTAAAAAGAACGTGTTAAAAATATTTTAAAGGTCTTCCTTTTTTATACTAAGAATGTTCAGATTTATTTAGAATAATTTTATACTTACGTGTTATCACAACCACCTTAGTAGAAGTCGCCAGATTTTAAGAATGGGCCAAACTTCTACAACCGTGAGCATAATCATTTTTCAGGCAACCATGATCCACATTAATTTCAAATGGGTCTTCATTTTCCTAGTATCTAACACCAGTGTTTAATCTTATATTTATTATGCATTGTGATAACCTTCTAACACATATTGTTTTCAAATTTGCTCGTTCAAGTTTCTGCTTAAATTGTATTTACTTGTATCTTCACTTTATGATTTGCAATACTTTATTTGCCTTATACAGCAGGCAACAGACTGCATGTAACGTAAATATCGCCTTTTAACAACAAATTTATGAGTATCGAAACTGTCTTAGGTTTGTTAGATTTAGTCCACTGTCATAAGTGACATGTCATAAGCCCGTAATCGAAATGCCAAATTCTTCTAAAGCCATAGATTATGTTAGGTTAATTGATTAAGGCGAAGCAATTTGATGGGTATCTACTTATAAGGATAGAGGACTTTTTAGAGAAAGTTGTCTCGAATCCGTATTACATATGGGGAAATCTAAAGCTGTAGAAAATTAAACTGAGTTACTGTACAGCTTTAGAAAACTGCAAATTCTGAAACCTCTAATACACATTTTTTTTAACCAAAACTTCTTAAGAAGAATTTTATGAAGCATTTTGACAAACTAAACAATATATACTATATCGGGAATTAGAGAATTAACTAAGGTAACATCAGTTAAAGTCAAGCCAAAATCCTCAAAGATATTATAAAGTTAAAAAATAAAATCAGAACAATTTAATTGTGTATTAAAGTGTAAAGGAAGAGAAGATTTTGTCTACATAAATTAAAAATCAAATAATAAAAATGTGCTAAATCGAACAAAAATAGCGTAAAATGAAATGTTATGAATATACTGAAAATATAAATTATTCATATATTGAATTGATTAGGATATTTTTATTCATCCTTACTATTTGTATAAGCTTCATTTATTTTGCTAAGAAGAAAGAGGAAAATAACTAAGACTGTTTGAAAAATTAAAGTTTTGGGTGCAAAATTTGCTTTATAATATCTACACAAATTCAATTATAAAAACTAAAAATATTAAAATCTGATACATAAAAGTATGTGATTAAAAATTTTTATTACGCAATTTTGCCGAAATTTGGCTTCTAAAAGTCGAATATAGTAACAACATCTCAAATTTTTGAAAGAAGCAGACTTTGTTAGATGTCTTCTTTGAAGCAAGTAAAGACCCTTACTTTGCCTATGGCAGAGGAAAATTGTACTTTTTGCGCAGTTGGTTTAACGGGAACAGAATCTTTATTCCTGCAATTGGGCGATTTTCTCCCATCTCTTGCGCATTGGGAAAGACTGCATCACTACAAGACCAGCCACTAGAAGAAATTCTATGCCAAACCCAGACAAAATTCAAATGGATAATTTAACAGCAAGAAACATTCTTATAATGGTATATTCTTGTCATTGTGGACTATACATTGTGGATCTCTTTAAGTGAATAAATAAAATTTCTTTACTCAGACTGACAGGAATTGTTTCCTGCTTTTAAACACTTCCAATACTTTTATTGGAAGTGTTTAAAAGCAGGAAACAATCGCCTTTCCGGCCTAACTGGAATTTACTCAAGAAAACGCAGTCGGACGTACTTCATCATTTTCAAACAAATGATGAAGTTTAAATTACTTAATCATTTTCTAACTCAAAATATAAAGAAAGAGAAATCAGAAAGCGTATTATTGTAAGAGGAGAAATTTCAGCGGATATCCCAATGTTGAACTTCCTGCTAACCGAGGGATTTTTACGTCCTGTTTTGTTTCCGTTTATTTCATTGTGCTGTCTTGAAACACATTTAAGGATCAAATATATGGTACCATCAAGTTTCCATAAGCCATGGTAATATTTTCCGGGCTAAATATATTAAGGGAATTCTCTAGTATCTAAAAGAAGCTGCGATTCTACTTGAAATAAATTTCATATGTTCTGTTTTTTCCTGCCTCTAGCATATTCTAATTTTTTTTGAGTCTCTGCTGTTAAGTTTAATTTTAGAAATGCGTTTAAAAACAGTCCTTCTCATACGACGACATGGAGCAATCGTCATGTCATCTGTAAGTGCACATCGTTCCACCACCTCATCATTTCTTGTATAGGAGAAAAACATCTGATCTTATTTCAGACAGTCTCATTGCAGTCGGTACATTATTGATTCCGTTATTCATAAATATGATCGATAGAGGACTGACTAATCACTGCTACAATATTTATTGTTACAGCGATAAAATAATTGCTAAAGTAATAGAAATCAAGGCTTTGATCGGGAATACCAAATGAAAGCAAGAAACCTACAAAAGGCGTCTTTGACTAAGCAGACAATACTTGAATGCTTTGCTATATTTTAATAACTAAAATAAATCCTTCCTAGGTCAATGTTCTGTCACTTGTTCGTATTTTTAAATGCTCAAGGTGATAAATATGGGGATTAGTGGAGGCTGCTCCCACATCAAATGATCTTTTCTTGCAGGTCATTACTTGGATATATCTAACATTTATTTATAAATAAAATTTTAAGGAATTATACTATCAGATTAAATAACGAAAGAAAATGTGCAGATACAGGACAAAAATTAGACATCTATAAATTTACCTGCAATGTTTAGCTATACCAACGCAAGCAGAAATCACAATATTAATTCCTCACAGAAGTGATTCAAATCAGTTAAATAACCGGGACTTATCTTTTACCATTCTGAGCACATTTTGTCTCGCAACTGATTTAAATTTTGGGGCACTTGCATTTGAGGTGGTCCCACAACATTCTCGTTTAGATTTAAATCTGGTGATTTATTTGAGCCTTTCCTGTATTCCGAGTTTTGCTATGCTCTTGACGCCAAACACAATGATTCTTAACTATACGAGTCTTAAAACTGTCCTTCTGCTAAGCTTAATATGCATTTTTATGAGAATCCTGCAACTCATAAAAATTTCCTTTCCACAAGGAAATTAACTTTAATTAAATACAATTTAATTAATGTTAATTTCCTTGTTTGTCCAACAAGGAAATAATGATTGTCTAAAATTTTTTGCTAAGCATGCTCATTGACCATTTCATCCACAGCTACTATTGGCATAAAAGCACAATCATTAACCACCATCCCTATACTGTTAGCTCTCAGCCACTCTCTACCGCTAATATTGGGAATATCCGCTTAAAACGCGTTATACGACGCCTGTCAGCTCCATCTGAACAATTCGTCATTTCAAATAAATCGACCCATTGCAATAAAGCACAATCTTCCTCGGTTGTTTTTCACCGGATTTAGCATATTACGGCGAATATTAAATAACAAAGCAAAACCTTAAATAACAAATAAATCGCATGCCAAGTAGTGCGTCTAATTACGCTGACAATACACCCAACAATGAAAAGAAAATTATGTTATTTGAAGGAAAAGCTGAATTGCTTGATGTATATATCAGAGATATTTCAGTTACATAATCTGATGTCGAACTTTTCATTTATGATGTGTAGTTAGCAATATGTGTAAGGTCTACAATGCTTAGTAATTTAACGAGCAGTAATAATATACGTGTTGGCAGACAGTTAATTTATCTTGTAAACCTGACAGCCTAAACTTATGATACACATGGCTACAATGTTAGACAATAGATGTAATTTCTTTTTTTCTATCTAAATATTTCTTTTATCTACCTGATTTAAGAAGGCAGTATAGCTCTTTGGATCAGAGATTCTTAGTTTGATTTATTTAATTATGGCAAAGCAGTTAAAGGCTATCTTCTTAAGGGGAGGGATGCCTTCGTGGAGGACTTTCTAAGGGAACTTTCTCATATACATATACTGTATACATTTCTCACATACTTTCTCATATACAATACTCTCATATACATATACATTTCTCATATACTTTCTCATATACATTTTACGACACATGAGAAAAACCGTGAAAACACATATGCAGCCAACCCGTTTAACCCCCGAACCAAATTACCAATGTTCAAGAGAAACTTCATATTTACGGACCTCTAGAAAATTGATAAGTAGTCCATGGATCACTGGGAAAAGCAGTCCGTCAGTTAATAAGTGGTTCACGGAGCGTTGGGAAAAGGAGTCCGTCAGTTAATAATTAGTAGCCTGTGAACGATTTTTAAATTAAAATTTAATTTGTTATTTCATTTTATTATGAAAAATATAATTAATAAATTAATAAAACTAATTATTAGGAGTGCAACAAAATACACATCATATGAAAGGGTCCTCGGTCTCATAAAGTTTAAAAACCACTGGTTTATATTATTGGTAAGGTATCTGGTCAACAACAGGCTACCAATTCTTAACATTTTAGGGAGTCAAAAACGAAAAGTGTATTTGTTAAAGTAGCTTCCCTGAACTAAAGGAATTTAATTCAGGAGTCCACTGTGCACTTTCCTTGCATTCAGTGTATTCTTCAGTTATGTTTCTCGAGATTAAAATTAGACCAGTTGTGCCCTTCCGCTTCTAAAGCCAACTTGTTCCGTTTTCAAGATCTTTTCGTTCCAGTCAGCATCATCCTAACAAATATCTTACATGCGAGTGTGCAGTTGTTCAGACTCGTACGCTTAATGCAACATTCACATTTTAAGTGTCGTTTATCTGGACAGCGAAGTGTGAGTAAGACGATGATTCGCGGAGATAATGCAGCTTGAGCTTGAGAGGGAGTGAAGTGGATATCCACTTCTATTTTTTTAAAAACTGTTTACATTCTCAAGTTTGCTACAAATCATCACTACTTCGTGTATTGTCTTTCTTTTTCTACCGCTTGAGTCGGGAGTTTAAACGCATGTAAAAAAGCTAATTTTCTCTGTTTTATAATAGAATGGAAGAAGCTCCTGAAAGAAGAGATAACGACATTTTAATGGCGTATGTTGACCTTACAGGTTAAGTTTCGTTCACGTTGTGAAACGCTCCAGCAGCCTCAACTGTTTTGCATCAAAAGTATAAAATAAAATCAAAATTCAGAAGATGGTTTGTAGTTCCGAAGTGTTTGAATGTAAGTTATAATAATATAGATAAGCCATAAAATAGATACTTTCCATCAGTTTTACCTTTACTTGTCCAATAACTATAGATAGCAATGGGCGTAAATGACACGATATTCTCTCTCTGTTAACAAAAGCAAGAAATAAAATGCTTCTCTTCGTCTTGATGCTGTTCGTGAGAATCTGACCAGAACTTCTACTCTTCAACTCTTCAATGAAAGCATTTTCACAAAATGAATAAAATTACGTAGGCCGTGCCTTTTCCCCACAATGAGTTTTTGGGGGATTTCGCCGTAAAATTAGAGAATGTCCTTGTTCCTGTTGCCAGTCGCTCCGTTTTGTCTAGTATCAAGCAAGGGTTACATTAAGTTATTTGAATACGGCAAAGCACACGAGGGCTATCTGCCTAAGGGAAATGATGTCTTCGTGGACGACTTTCTAAGGGAAACTAGCTCGTATTCACGTTACACATATGGGAAACTGCAAAACCCCCGTTCGGCTAGGGTCGAACTCAAATCGAACTCCCGGTATTTAGTGCTCTTAATTACTCGGCCACTAGTGGAGGCACGTATCAAGCCAAAGGTCTCAGGCAATACGACTCCAAAAACTCATGTTAGAGCTTTAATAGAAAAATCCCCAATTACATTGAATGAGCATGTGAGTAATTCATTAAAACAAAAGTATTCAAATTCTGTCTAAATGGAAAGAACGACTTTGCAGATGATTTTGATCTGATAGGGGTCAATCTACGAAAATACCAGTGGGAATCAAACTCCGAAAAAACTAGCCCTGCTCAGACATCTTGCCCATTCGATTGCTTCAAATGGAAGTGTGGCAAGCAGATAAGACAATTAATGCTGGCAGTTCACTCTAAGTTCGGTTTGCGGTGATTGAAAGGGTTGGCTATGGTATTTTCGTTGGGTTTTCTTCAAAGATGAATAAGAGTCATTTTCTTCTAGAAAATCCTAAATGAACGTGTGCCTCTTATTCTAAAAAAGCCGCTCATATTCATTGCTGCTCTAACTAACGTAACCTAACTTATCTGACTGAACAAATACAAGAATTTATTTTGTTTTTATAAACTCAGTTTGCAAGAGTACCTCTCTGTACAACAGAAATAAAATAGATAAAAAACTTATAGGAAAATGTATACGAAATTGTTTAAACTGGTGAGAAAAATTGCACTATTTAAGTTAAATTTACAAAATTATGTGATAAAATTAAAACAATTCAAACTATGACAAAAATAACTCTATTTAAGTTAGACTTACAAAGTTATGTGATAAGATTAAAACAATTCAAACTATGACAAAAAATAACGCTATTAAAGTTAAATTTACTATATTATGTAGTAAAGATTAAAACAATTTAAACTATGACAAAAATAACGCTATTTAAGTTAAATTTACAAAATTAAATTTTAATATTAACATTCTGAAATAACTTACAAATAAAACAATTTAAACTGATGACAAAAATAATCCTATTTAAAATTTAAAATTTAAATTTTAAGATTAACGGTCTGAAATAACTTACAAAATTTTATAACAGCATAAGACGCTTATTTATTTATTAATCGTAACTGCATTCAGATTGTTATACTGTACGCAAATATTTTTAATGGAGGAGGAAAAACAGCTTTCTGATGAGTTTTAAAGGTTCTTTTATATATCGAGAATTAAACGATTTAAAACTGCATTTCTTATCGAAGACTTTACTGTCAGTTTCCCCTTTCTAAACACAAGGCAGCTAATCAATAACTTAGACATCTACCGCCATCTATCTTACGGCAGTTAAACTAAATTTTGCAACGTATATATTTGGGCTTCTTTATTCCTAATTTGTCTGTTTAAATTATGATTATCTATAAGCAGCAGCATAGTTTTGAATTTAACAGACGCGAATGAGAGTTATGTCAGCCATAGTTTTCTTAAAAGCCCATCTCATAAAAATGAGAATATTGATTATCCAGTTTGGGTTTTAAGGGTATGAATTTCCAATTTTGATTATGCGATTTGAATTCTTTTTTCAAGATTCTAAGGCTTTGTCAAAAAAATAGTCACTAAAATTTCACCTTTTTGCCACCACTTTTTTTTTAATACGTCTGTAAAAATTTACCTCTGAATTAATAAAAATCAGTGATTTGAAGAAAACACATTTATCAGTGTTTAGCGTTTTATGTATATTATTTTTAACTAACTCTACATATCTAATATTTATCCACATATTCTGGATATTTTCTTAAAAACCAACTATTGGAATGTTGTTTTATTCTTTAACTACCTTTTTCAGAATTTTTGGAGTGTTATCAATTTCTTTCCTTTACTGTAAAATTTCGTTTTCGTTTTAATAATACAGAAAGTAAACTGCTAGATGAGAATCAGGCAATTAACAGGATGATCAATAAAAGTGGCATTTTTTTCCACTACTCAAAGGTACGAAAGATAATTGTATGTTTAGAAGATACAATAAAATTCATTTCCTTGGCTAACGCCATCATAATTGAACACACATTCGACTCACAACGGGTTTTAAAAAAATTAATAAATACAGCCGTACGCTTGAATTGTTCATTTCTGAAAACTATCATTTCCTACTAATTTAGTGCTGCCCAGGAACTTTCTCTGATTAGCATTTTTACTATACATCTGATAGTTTCTGAGATAGTCAGGCTAAAGTTAAAATTTCAGTGGTAAAGATGCTGTAATCAGCCTCAACGAGCTCTTGGTAAATAATTACGAATGTCTCCCGTGCGCAACTATCTTCTTTCAAAAGCTATTTGTTTGCTATTTGGTTCCCAAATTAGTCTTTCAATATATATTCTGCACACGTGTCAGCCTGATTGGATCAGGAGGACTCCCTGAAACTTCTTTGAGCAATGAATTATACGCCTAGGATCTATAATGAGCATGATATTGAGAATGAGATAAAATTATGATATTATTAAAAGGGAATGGTCATTGTTCAAATGGTTAAGATATTTGTTCAAAAATGCTCTTAATCTTTTGCTATTATATTATACCTGGTATCAAATCTTAAAGGGGAAGTTATAGAACAATATGCCATTTGATAGCATTATTAATTATTAGTTCCATTTCATAGCATTATTAAAAGTACGATCAAATTTGATAAAATAAAAATAACGGGATTCGAGTCCTGATGATCGTTAAGAGTTAAGCTGTGCTGAGGATTCAGTATGAATTATAGATCGCTTTTAGTAATTCAGCTGGAATTTTGCTGTGTTTCATAATTTTTCCCCTAAATGTTCAGTACGGAATACGGTTTTAGCTTCATTAAACACCCTCTGTCATTCTCCATTTAATAAAGATAGTCATTCAGTTTTGAACGTTCTTCGTTTGTATGCAGTTTATCCAAAATTTTCTCTTATAGTTAGCAGCCAAATAGCTTCATATTTGACGTTTATGCTCTAAACTTTTTGTACCATGCTTTCTATTTTAAATGACATCATCTTTATCAATACTTATCAGATAAAATAACTATTAGGAGCATAAGTTTCTGAAAAATCTTACATTATGTAAATAAAGAGTGAGAATCTTTTATATTTCTTTATTATAATGCAGGAAAGAAGATAAAGCTGGAGTGAGGTATTGTAGGAAAATCAGACCGCGTCTTTGCATGGAATCGAATTCACTCTGCCTGGATTACCAGTTAGGGGTTTGATGGATAAACCGTCTAAATCTCGACAGAAAGCAAAATTAAAATAATAAGTAAATCTCCACCTATGAATAAAAGTAACTATAACTCTTATGGCTTGCATTAATAATCATTATAAATGAATAAAATAATAAATCAAGAGAATTAACCATAATTCATCAGGCATACGAAGAGCGACATGACTAGCTCAATGAGGTCAAAATTTGAGAATGCCTTCTTATCTAAACCAGAAATATTTTCCATCCAAAATCTGCTGAGGAATTTCTGCCTGCTTATGTTGTTAGCATACGAAGAAGCAATCTGAGGCAAACACCGTTTTGGTACAACTTTTGGCCACTTTTCACTCATTGATTGAAACACTTATTGGTATTTGCAAAAATTGGTATTGATGCATTCATCAAATGATTAAACTGCAATTAAATTCAACTAAGGTGACACGCCTTGAACTATCTCCGTATTAGACGGGAGGACAGGGTGATGTTCATATAAACCCTCAAAAGAAAGATTAAATAAGCTCGCTTGCTACACTACGGAGATCTACGCTTACATTCGAAAATAAAGATACATTAGGATTTTTTGGATCGAGTTGTAGATACATTAGGATTTTTTTGGAAGCAAGAGAAGTGAAAAATTAGCTACGCCTTCGTCGGGAATCTAACCGCGGACCTCTGGAATACGCGCTCAGTGTGCAGTTAAAAGTCTTCTTAGCATACCTTCGTGCCACACCACGAAGGCATGATAAAAAAGCAGGAGAAATACCTTATATACTCCACCTTTTAAAGGGCGACTCGGGTTTTAGGGGACCCAATCGCCAATTTCTCGATGTGGAGAATCATCATCCAACACCCTTTTAGTTCGGGCGCCACTGTAGAGACATTAGGTAATTTTTGGAGCAAGAGAGATAAAAAATGAGCAAACGCGAAGGCGGGAGAAATACCTTATAGAGTACTTGAAGTATGTAAAATTCAACTTTTATGAATGGAAGGAAAAAGGCACGTACCTTTTTTTTTAATGCTTAATTCAATAAAAGTGTTTCACGAAACAGTTTGGGCACCAAGGAGCTATGTAGTAAATATCATTGCAGAGAACAGGTTCAAGCTTGTTTGTTTAACAAAAGACGGCAAATCATACAAGGGCTATCTGCTTAATAGGAAAGATACCTTAGTGGAAAATTTCCTAAGGAAAACTGACTCTTATTTCCGCCACACATAAGAAAAAAGAAATCCATGCAACTAGCTCTTTCGCAACGATTCTAATCCAGGCTGGGCCCACCGCCGACCGAGAGGTTAAGTCCATAAGCATTGGTAGCTCGATTTGGATTCGATTTCAGGCGAACGTGCCGGCTGCGTGTTTTTATTTCAGGATTTTCCCTATGTGTAATATGTACACGAGCCAGTTTCCATTAGAAATTCCTCCATGAGCTCCTCCCTCTGCGGACGGTAAAGCATGCTAGGGCTATCTGCCTAGCGAAATAAACCAAATAAATCAGTTTTAATTAAATAAACTAAACCAAGCCAGATCGAACTACCAGTGTTCAACACTTTTAACAATGAAAATTAACATTGCTGAATAAACAAAACATTGGTTATAAATGCGAATGAAATGGAGGATCAATTGATAATGTTTAATCCACAGGATTATAAGGTATTTCTCCCACTTTCCTAGGGTGCCTTCGTGGTGTAACAGTAGCACGCTGGGCCGGTATTCCAGAGGTCCGTGGTTCGATTCCCGGGGAAGGCGTTTGCTATTTTTCATCTTTTCTGCTTCAAATTAACCTAATGACTCTACAAGTGGCGCCCGAACTAAAAAAAGGGTTGTGGATGATGATTCTCCGCATCCAGGATTTGGCGACTAGGTCCCCTAAAACCCTAGTCGCCCTTTAAAAAGGGGAGTATATAAGGTATTTCTCCCACTTCCCTAGGGTGCCTTCGTGGTGTAACGGTAGCACGCTGGGCCTGTATTCCAGAGGTCCGTGGTTCGATTCCCGGAGAAAGCGTTTGCTAATTTTTCATCTTTCCGGCCTCCAAAAAATACCTAATGACTCTACAGGATGACTAACAAAATAGTAATATAATTTTTCTCAATAAACTTACCTAATCTAATTTTTATTCCCCAAAATATGATTAGAGTTAGTTTAGCAGAACCATCAAATTACAGTTGGTAATCCTTTTGTAATTTACAGTTCTATTTTACAATTCCCAACGACATTGGTGAATAAAAATCACAAAGCTTTTATAATTAAGGTGATAATTTTTAGCATTTATGATTAAGTGTATACGTTGGAAGTATAATTAAGTGGATGATCAGTGGATAAGTAGTAGCTTTGTTAATAAAAATATATATCTAAATTTTGATTAATTCAAACTTATTTTAGAAGATTTCGATTTTAACTTCTGTAATCAAAAATAATCGGCAGAGTAAAGCTTAAATGGAGTGCTTCGGCTGTTAAATCTAAAATGTAATCAAAAAGAAATAAATATATAGATTGCAAAAGAACAGGAAAAAAGTCTCAGTTAAAAATGGTTTGCAGTTTGATGATACAGGTAACTAAACTAGATGGAATTATTTGCTATAATTTTCGATAGTTATTTCGTAATTTATACTTACTTAAAAAACTTCGAAAACTAAATAATTTTTCTATTGCTTCCCTCCGTCTCAGATAAATTAAATACTAATAATAGGAAGTCAAAGACTAACAAACAAGAAAAACAAGACACTAAATGTTTATAAAATAATTTTAGTAAGTAAACACATTACATCTCTCGGAGTACACCAGCTTGCAATTTTCAAGCTTGTTAAGTTTAACAAATGATATGTTTTTGATTACTGAGTCTCTTTCTCTGAATTACTCTAAGTTCCAGTATTTAAACCAGTATTTAAAGATCATTTAGGTGTGTTTCAGTTTTAACGAAACGTTTACCATGTTCATTTGTGAAAGTAGAAAAACTGGATCGTTTTCGAACTTTTAGGGTTTTAAAAAAATTCTTTTCTTTCTTTCCTATATATTTTTTAAATTGCATGGTTCGTGAGAATCTTCGATTTGAGTTAAATAACTAAGTATTCCATTGAAACTTATTGGGAATCACTTATTAATGCCATATTTGGTATCATTAATTATGTTTAAAAATATAATTATGTGAGTAAAATTACCATTTCATTTGATGGTTTAATGTTTTCTTCATTAAAATTATACTCTTTAATTATTTACATATTAGTACAAAAATTTATCATTACGAGAAATGCATCAAAAGTCCGACACAAAGAAGTTGCCGTCTAGTACTGTAAAATGTATAAATTTACAGGCTAAGAGAGAAGTAACACAGAGGTTTTAAAACCGTTGAAATTTTTAAAGCATTGAAAACTAGCCGCTTAAATTTAAGAAAAGTATTTTTAAGTGAACGGAATGAAAAATATTTAGAGTTAATATTAATGAAAGATTTGAAGGCTAATCATAAATTAATTTAGTTATCGTATTTAAAGTAATTATACTATATTAGATAAGTATTTTAAAATTTAAAGGTAAGTACTTTTATCTTAAAAATGATGTTTTGACTGCTGAAATTAGTATTTTTTTTTCCGTTTTAAAATGAAGTGTTATTGGTGTAATGTTTCGATTTCGTCAGTTAAACATCGCTTGAGAAACAATTTGATTCAAAAAGACAGTGTGCGTACTTTATGCAGACAACCGTTTTCGCAGAATTTCATTAGTATTATAAGAATTGGAAAATAATTAATACTGCTCAAAACTGCTGTAAGATGTTGTGAAAATGCTATAAGAGTTATGATATGACTTATAGTTTTTTTTTTTTTTTTTTTGGTAATTTTTAAGTGTACTAGTTAATCTGACTGTGATACACGGACGGGAATTTATCTGTTCACCTCAGGTGATTAGTACTTAGGAACAATTCTGCAAATCGATAAGAAATTTTGTTTTATATTAAAATAGAATATTTTCGCCCCAGTGAAAAATGTTTAAATAAACATCCAGTATCTTGAATACGCAATCTTGAAAAAATCTTTAAAAAACAATTATTAAAAATAAATTTCTAGGCATTTCAATTTATAGCAACTTGATTTATGACCAGATTTTCCATGCATCATCTACCGTCATGATGATGAAATTGATGATGATGACGACGATGACAACGATGATGATGATTGTGACGACGACGACGATGGTGATAATAATGATGATAACAAAGAACTGAAAAAATATAATTTTAGGAAAGAATGAACGTGTACTTACTTCTTAGTAACTGGAAAATTGCCGACATCTTGCATATATGAAATCCACTGTTAACACTCAGAAATTGTATTTCTTAATTGTCGAATATCGCTATCAATGGACGGTTCGACTGCTGCTTTCTTTTGACAATAGACTAAAATTCTACAGCTTACGAGAAGTCAGTGAAAGAAAAATGCTCTTAGCGCAGGAATAACTTGAAAGTATTAGTTTTATCATTAACAGAAGTGACTGGAGGCGAGCCACAATGTCTCAAAAGTTATTTTCAGTTATTTCCGTGATTATTTATTTGCAGATATATATATATAATTTTCTCCCATATGTTAAAATGCCTTGAAAAATTTTAGCCTTGTATCTGACTGATAGAATAGTGATCAAAGTAATTTAAATTTATGTAAAATTCCAGGATTCAGTTTTACGTTTCTTAGAATTTTTTAAACAGGAGAAAATTATTTTAAACTTCAAAATTATTAAAACCATAGAAATAATTAGAATATCACATAAATATGCTGTTGAAAAAAGATTAATTTACATACTCTTCCTTTTTCATGTTCATAGGAAAAAAGACAACAGATGTAAAATTACAGAAAATCGCCAGATATTTTGAATTCATTAATTTTATTTTCAGTCTTTTGAGAATTCGTAAAAGTGACGAATGAAAAATATCATGAAGCCGGTAATTTTTTTCAGTACATCTGTATTCAAACAATTTTCGTAAAAATAACGTGTGGAAAATACGATAAAACTTTGGCAGCATATTTAATTTTTGTTCATTCGTATAATTTTCATAAAAATAACGTGCAAAAAGTACATACCCTTATTTCACCAAAATTATACGTAAATTTTTTAGAAATGGCTCGAAATTGAGTAAAGAATAGTTAGGAATATACATCATCAAGTGTAAGAGTTTATTTACTTAGTTTGTTGAAAAATCAATGGCATTATTTATACTGAATATGTATAGATATAACAGTAGAAAAATTAATGTTTTGGGTGGAATGCTTTCGCTCTAATTCCTGCTTTAGAGCAGTTGCAGAAGATTAGTTTTGTAAAAGTTTCTCTTCAATTTTGTTCCGCTTGCTTTCTTAAGGTAGCTTTATCTCTGTTGTGGGAAAACTGAACTGTTATTTTTATGCAGAATACGGGACGTTTCAAAAGACTGCGTTTAGGTACCACACTTCCAGCTACATTAAACTACTAACTGAATATACGCATAACAACAGCCAGCAATCAATAGTCAAGAATGTCCAAGAGCATTTACAGACGGTTCTAAAATTCATCGGAAAGTGGGCGCAGCATCAATAATCTATTCATCTTCCTCTATATGGCAAGGAAAATTATCTCCAGAAAATTCTGTGTATCAAGCTGAGCTGTCAGCAATTCAAACTGCAGTAAATAAAGCCATATCAAATAATTTCAGAACAATGGCAATCTATTCAGATAGTCAATCTGCATTATATGCTCTGAAGGACAGAAACAATAAGAACCAACTGATTCAGGATATGCAAAATATAATAAGCCCCCACCCAGAAATCCAGTTTTTCTTCAACTGGGTGAAAGCCCACAACGGTAACTACGGCAACGACCCGGCTGACCTTTTTGCAAAAGATGCAACTAACATCAACAGTGAGGACTGCACTATGACCATGTTCTGAATCAGTATATCACAGAGCACGGTCCTTTCCCCACCTACTTCCATGACAGAGGCATGTGCCCCACGAATCTCTGCATATGTGGCGAAAGGGGTGACCTTGATCATTACATTTTTTACTGTAATCTAACAGACGGTAAACCTCTGATTAAGCCTAACAACAATCTAATACCATTTAAGAAATACGCAATAAAGAACAGACACCTTAGGGCCAAAATCTAAGACGTTCTTATACGTATCCAAAAACTCGAACTGGATATTTGTCATATCTAATGCTTATGCATCTCCATATATTTCTAAAATATATTTATTTAAATTTTTTAATTTAATGTTCTAACAATTTCATTTTTCTACACGCAATGCTGATGGACGGGAGCTCCAAAGACTTGCTTATTACACCTTCCGCCTTAGAAAGGACATTTGTTCATACATTTAGACTTTTTGGAAGCATCAGTTGTTGTACTTTTCAAAGACAGCCTTTTCTCAGTTTGATTGTGTACACTAATAATACCAGAAATCACTGATCTCAGAAAGTCCTCTCAAGGGGTTGATGGTAAAAAAGAGGGCGGGAGATCCTCAGATCATCCCCCGGGGTGTTCTACCTCAAAATTGGGGTGGAAATTTAACAGTTAGCTAGGTTCAGCAATACCTCAATTACCTGTGGTACTACGGAGGTGCTGGACTAGCTTCTACCTGTACCTATGGAAGCAGTAGATACACATATACTCGCAAACGTTGCGACGAATTTGACTACCGATAGACACATGCTGTGCATCCAAATGTGGACATATTATGCACTTTTAATTTGTCTTATGAGAAAAACTTTATGATTAGCTATGTAATATAAAATCATTCTTTTAAGTTTCTATGCTCAATATTTATCATAATGCGTATTTCGAATCGGGTGGTTCTTTTCGAAACCCCAGTATAGTAAGTTGATAATACATGTTAAAATAAGTGTCGTTTCTCGAACTGCAGGTTTTCGTGGCACATACAGCCATTTGATAGTTATAATCATAGAGATGGAGGAGCAGGAAGATGAATTTAAAAATGTTTAATTTTTTATCTGGAAGAATAGTGTTCAACACATAGTACAAAAGTTTACAACCTGTGTATCGTATGAACAAGCTTTCTTGAAAACAAGACGAGAACAATGGCATTTGTTTATTTATGTTTATTAAAAGATGGGCTACCTAGCTGCTGAGCGGTAAAGTCACTGAACACTGGTAGTTCGACCCAGGTTTAAATCCCGGCGAACGGTTCAAGTGTATGGGCATCTTCGTAGCTTTTTGTTTGCGTAACACCGATACAAGTCAGTTTCCCATAGAAAGCCCTCCATGAAGGCGTTCCTTACGTAGATAGCCCTAGAGTGATTTGCCAGAATCAAACAAACCATGTAGAGACACTAGGTATTTTTTAAGCAGGAGTACCTGAAAAATGAGCAATGCTCTCACCGGGACTCGAAACTCTCGAATACGCGCCGAGCGTCCTGACCATTACACCACGAAGGCATGCTAAGAAAGCGGGAGAAATATCTTATAGCCAAACCTAATTAATCCTTTTCAGTTTACTTTCAGCGCAGCTTCTATTCAAAAGCTGTTTTACTACTTTTAAAGTGACTTTTATTGCGCAGTTGAAAATATAATTTGGACTCTTTAAATACTACTGTAACTTGCAGCGTCTAACGACATGAACTCATAGTCTAGACCTTACTTCGGTTACTAATTCAGAAGTCAAACAACAAAAATCAGCGTTATATTTACAAAATTTTCACAGGACGAGTTTAGATGGTTTTACTGAACCATCATCTTCAGCTGCAAAACCGCAAATGAACAAGATAGGAAATAATGTTTAGATAAGATAAGAAAGCCTGGACAAGAATAAGCAAGTGGCGCCATTTGTTGGCGAAACCAGAACTAAAACATAATATCCCTAAAAGCCGAAGGCAAATTTGGATTGGAATTAGGATTTTTAACTAGAACAGAAAGATTTTTATGAATGTGAAATACCTCTAGAAAATCCAGTTCTCCAATGGAAGATGTTTTTTGAATAAATTTTGGCAGCAGAAAAATTGAAAGTGTGATTTTCGGACCAACAATGTTGAGCAACAGAAGACTTCTGTGTTTCCTTTTTTCTAACATATGCCTCATGTTCTTTGACGCGAAATTTTAAGGCTCTCTTAGATTGGCCAATGTAAATTAAACCACACTGGCAAGGAATCCTATAAATACCCCAGGAATTCATATCCGGAATGGGGTCCTTGAGTATAGAAGTTGGAATTTTATTGATGGGAGAGTAAACAACCCGAAAGTTAAATTTCTGCAAAATATGTCCAACTTTATAGCTAATTGATGGAAATGACAACAGAATTTTTATAATCTCCTAAAATAAGAGTGTGGCTTTTAGTGTGTTGAGATGAGAATTTTTTAACTGCTTGATTAATAATGTTGGGTGAGAAAGCCCCTGTCAATAGCTATTGCTTTAAATAATTTAGTTCTTCATCAAGGGCTAGTTTGGAGGAGCAAACTGAAGAGCACGGAAGGAAAACATAGGAATAAAATGAAGCTAACTTTTGTTTAGTCGGATGACATGATTTAAAGTGTGGTGGAAGGCAAACCGATGAAGGTTTACGGTAAAACGTAGTACTGAAGTTGGATGTGTTACGTGTGACCAGAATGTCGAGAGAAACGGAAGAGAATTGCAAGTCTCAAGTTCAAAATGAACTGAATAGCAGGATCAATAGAATTCATTGTTGAAAGAAACTTTATTTTAAATCATTTTTATTACCTTCAAACAGGGTAAAAGTATCGTCTACGTAGCGGAACCATGCCGGGAAGTTTAAAGTTTCAAAACAATTTTGATTCATAATAATGCATGTAGTATCAGCCAGGATGGGACTGAGGGGGGCTTCCCATGGCTAATCCCTCAGTTTGCTTGTAATATTTATTTTGGAAAAAAAAATGTGTTTGTTTCAAACAGAGTTGAGTGAGAGAAATTAGCTCATCAATTTCGATGCAAGAGAAATGAAATTCGCGAAGTCTGGTTTTAGACATCTTAATGCCCTCCACTGGGGACATTGGTGAATAATGATTTTACATCAAAAGAAACCATGAGTAATTACTAGGAGAAATGTTTTTAACCTTTTTTACAAACTCTATTGAATTTTTTATGGTGTAAATGTTATTGTCTAATAGAGTGGAAAATCTAGAAACTAAATATTTAGCTAATGGATACGATGCAGTACCTAAATTTGATACAATAGGGCGGAAAGGAATACCAATTTTATGAATTTTGGGAAGAGCATATAATCTGGCACAATTCGCAACAGATGGGATAAGCG